GATGGGGCGTCCTCAGACATTCCTTGTCTTTGGACCTGTGTCCCTTTTTTCCTCTCCCAGAGTCGCTTCCTCCGTTCTCTGTCCACTGCTGGATTCCTACTTTTCTCTCTACCTCTTGGGTGTTAGAAGCGGCGCCAATAACGTTCCTTCCCATCCCCACAGCAGCACTTCTCCTCAAAGCTGGTGCTCAGATCCCCTTGCGCCCCAGGCGCTCCATCCCCTCCTGGAAGGCGCAGATCTCGGCTCGCCTGCTCTGCTCCCATTTACCTTCCTGTAGTCTAGCCAAATCTCCCTCCATGGGCCTGCCTGCATTTGGCCCTGCTGCAGAACTCCTCACCATTCGCTGGGCTTCGTGGAGCCTGAGTTCACAAGTTAGCGCTTTTCTGGCAGAGCTCACAGTGACGCACTGGGAAGGGTGAGCACTCGCAGGTGTGGAGGACACGTGCCTCCCATACCCGACGCCTCTGCTCCTCCTCCCCAGAAACCTGAAGAGAGCCCCTGCAGAGAATTGGTTCCAAGACACAATGCCTAGACTAGGTCTTGCTGACTCCACTCTGCCTCCCTAGGGGTCACTCTCCTCTCTGGGCCCTGGCATCTCAGGCCAGCCTAGCAAAGACTTCACCGATTCAACCCACATTTACACATCACTCACAGTACAAACCTTTAGGTCTCCTGGGGGGCTGAGATTTACCTAAGCATGGACAAGGGAAGCCTGGAAATTCTCCAGCAGCAAGAGGGAGAGGGGAGAACAAAACCACATTGGCCAGAGACAAACCAAGAGCCCAGGCTACTATGGAAGCTGGGACAGCTGCCCACTCAGGCCTGATGACCAGGGGAGAGGGGCTGCTTCAGGATCCCTGGACTCAGCCAGCCACCTTCATGATGTTTCAACTAGTTAGTGCAGGCCACACACAGCCTTTGCACTCAGAAACCCCAGAGTCCTACTTCCCTGCCTCCCTCTCCAGCCACCCTCCATGCTTGGACTTCTGGGCCACCAGCCAAGGCCTGAACTTGCCCCTCCCTGGATGGGAGTGGGGGCAGAGGCACTCTGTGCTTTCGCTTTCGTCTAGAGTTTACACAGTCCTACAAACACCTACCCACTCTGCCACCAGATTTTGTCCCAACTGTTGGGGTTGGGGAGGGGTCAAGAAGACCTGGAGAGCTCTAAAGAACCAAGGTCAGTTGACGTTTAGCAGGAGGGAATAAAGTGTGCAGGAGGAAGACTGATCTGGGGGAGAGAAGCCCTTCATCCCCCTTTTATCATCGATATCTTCTCTTCTCCCCCCACCTCAACCTTTATTCCTTTCCTTCCTTACCCTCAACCTGCACTCTAGTTGCGATGGGGAGGCCTTCTTCCCCGTCCCTTAATGAGTAGAAACTACCTTCAGTTATAGAAGCTCAAGGCAGAGGATTTGGTAAACGGGAAAGAGGGTCAGAGAGAAAAAAAAAGAAATTAACTTACAGCATTCGCCTGGGATTCATTTGCGAAGATGTAACCTCTCTCACCATCATCCCCAGCGCCGTAATCCGCTCTAACTGCCAGGCCCTCTGTCCTAGCATTAAACCTCACCAGCAGCTGCGTGGCTGGACAGTTAAGATTATATATGATGTAAATATATTGTGGGTTTGTCAGCTCTCCCTACACCATAAAACTTGGTTTAATGATATCACGTGGTCCCCCAAGAGCCACTCACGGGCTTGCCTTCGGGCCATTCACATAAATAACCTCCAAAAGTTTCAAACTCCTAAATTCACATAGAAGCCATGCGTATTTCTCTAATGCTCATTTACACTAAAAAGCCCTTGTGCTGCTCCTTTGCCCCACCCCCACCCCCCTTGCAGGATGGGGAGGGGGAGCGGATGGATCCCTATTTATTTACTTACTTATTTCCATAAGGACCTGTCGCCTTCAAGGCCTTGTTGGTATTGTTTTCTTCCTATTTTTTTCCTCCTCTCTTCTCTAATTGTTCAGAGTGGGCCGTGTCCCCCTCTTCCCACTCCCCCGGGAAGGTAAGTCACGCTTCTTCCCCTTCTTTCTCGCTGGCAGAGGGGGTGGGTTCCAGGGCAAAGTGGAGGGGCAGGCTCCACGGGTCTTCGTTTGGGACCCAGAAGCCCCTCCACCAACTCCCCCAGAGCAATGTCAAACTCTGGTACTTGGAGACCATGCCAGGAGGCTGGCTGGTGGGGGGCACCGCCCCAGACATGAAGCAGAAGCCTTTGCTCAGGGAGAAAACAAGGGTCTGGGCAGTGCCCACTCCCAGTGCAGTGCTGGGGGAGTAGGTCCGAGGCCTCTGGCCTAGTTGCTGACGCTGACGCTGCTGAGGCAGAAGCTGGGGCCTGGGCACAGGCCTGCAGACTGTGAGAACAAGGGGGAGAGCAGACAGGCTCTGCTGCACCTACCCAAGCCTGGCCAAGTTGAGACAGTCCTCTGGCTGGCTCCTCCAGGGAGCAGAAGCCCAAAAACCCTGCTGGGAAGAGGCAGGCAGTACAGTGTGGGGCCGGTGCACCCTGTCTGGTGGGTCTGAACAACATTGCCCCCACCCCTGACAAAGCTCTAGCTTCTCCTGGTGGGGCAGTGCATCCTCTGGGGAGGGAGCTCAGGGCCTCTGAAGCCTGAGAGGCTGGGAGGGTGAGCGCGGGCGCCTCGGCCTCTTTCTTAGTTAACTGTTACCCATTGGAGACGTCTGTGCTTCTCCACGCTTCAACGCTTGCCCAATAGTTTTACTCAGCATGGAGAAAAAATTAAAATAACTCCCTGAAGAAAACCACACATTTTATTTCAATAAGAGGGAAAAAGGGAGTGAGGAGTTGGGGCTGGGCTGGGCTGGGCTGGCTGCTGTGTGCAAACTGAGGAGAGATGACTAGGTCCTTAACCTGGTTTGAGTGCTGAGTGTAGGAGAAGGGTGGTAGCCATGGGTGCAGTTCACTAAACATGTTTGGAGACCTCCTACATGCCAGGCATGGGGTGAAGAAGGGCTCTTGAGTCTTTTCAAAACTCATAGACTGGTAGCTTAGGGAGTGAGATGAGGAGAAGTCAGTCTTTATAATAAATCCAAGGAGCATCAGCATTAGTAATCATAAATATTCTCCCTGGCCCTCCCCAGAGCTTCTCTGCTTCCTTTCCCTCTTAGCTGCTGGGGCAGCCCCCTAGCCCAGCCCCTGAACGCCTCCCCCCACCAGTGTGGGGTCCTAGGTTCCATTCCAGGAAATCACCCCTTTGTGGGAGGTGGGAGAGGAAATGCAGTAAAGTTTTATGAACCCTTCCCACATTTGTTTCTTCTGTAAAGTTCTTCCTCCCTCATCCCAGGACCCTAGAGCAGAGCAGAGGGTGGGCCTAGGCCAGCCTCATCATTTGCCTTATCTGCCTTATTTTTGCCCCTCCTTTGAGCCCACCCTCCCCCTACATACAAAATCAGAGACTGAGATAAATGATGGCAAACGAACGTAATTCCAGCACAGGTCTATGCAGCCCATATAGCTGTGGGCCCCAGAAGAAGGGGAGACAGTGGAAGAAGGGGAGACAGTGGAAACATTACTGCCAAGCAGGTCCACCCTGCAGACTGCCTTGTGCTCTCCTCCCTCCTCTCCATAGGAAGCTGAGGCACTGTTCATTCAACTCCCCTCAGGACTCCTTAACCAAGCATCACCAACTCTCTCTAGAGTCCTTCTGGGACCAAATGGGCCCTTAGTCTGAGATATCAGCCCTCCCTCAGTCCAGCAAGGCCCCTCAGGGACCACCCAGACTGGGGAGATCTTTAGAGGCCCAGAAAGGCCAGAGCACTGCGGAGCATATTAGCTCTGGCATGGGGTGGAGGCTGCTGCCAGTCTAGCGGCTTCAGACCTATCTAGCCAAGGTGAGAACGGGGTCCAGAGGCCTAAATGCTGTAAGCAGCTATAGCATGGGCAAAGTCAGCACAGGAGGTGCCACCTGGAGGCTCTCCCCTTCCCCCAGAAGCGTTTCTTGAAGCCAAAGATCAGGAAAGGAGCTCACTTTCAACACCCTCTTCTTGCTGCCTCTAGAAGCACCTCATTTTTTTTTTTTTTTTTTCTCAAAGGAAGGATTAAAGGATGCGGGACCTTCTCCTACACTTCACAGTGGATTTAGACACTTTTACCCAATACATGCCTCAAACACAGAGGAACACTGTACTTTCAGTCCTGTTCTCTATTCGTTTTTATTTGATATGACAAAATATAGTTTCAGGAAAGACTCCGAGTCAATAAATAGTTGGGTAACAGCGATGGGGCAGGAGGGTACAGAAAGAAGTGGCGGAGACTATGGGGCAGTCAAATGCCTCTGGGACCGCTTGCTGGGGTCCAGTGGCATGTGACCCCAATAGTGGAGCTAGCGGGCTGGGTCTGCGGGCCTCAGCCGGCATGCAGCGGGTGCGGGCTGGGGAGGTTCCCGGGCTCTCCCAGAGTAAAGAAGGTTTGGAGAGCACATAGGGCAACAGAGGGGGCCCTAGCTGACGTTCAGACATCTCCCCCTTTCATATGCAAATCATTAAAAATGAAGATCTAGTTTAAATGCGACAAGGAGCACCCCGAGTCTGGCGCCAGGGTCAGGCACAACCACTTTCGCCAGCCCCGCGGTTGCCTAGCCAGTCTAGCCAGGAACAAAGGAGAGGGCGAGGCCAGAGGGTCGGGGGCAAGTGGCCTTTGGCGCCGGGCCCACCTTGACTGGGGATCTGGAGAGGCGGCCCAGTCTGGGCTCCGTTCCGGAGTCTTGCCTGCACACCGCAGCCCTCTGAAGCCCCTGCAGGGCTCGCCCCGGCCCCGGGTGCTGAGCGGAGCTGGGGAGAAACGGGGCAGCCCGGGCAGCCTTGCGGGAACCCAGGGTCGATGGGGATGCGGAATGCCAAGGGAAAGCGCTTTATCTGTGAGGCTGGGGAGCCTGTGCTTCAGCCCCGGCCCTCGGCCCAAAATACAGAAAGAGGAAAACAGAAAAAGGAAAGGCGCGGATACTGGAGCGGGCGCGCTCTGCAGGCCTCACCCGGCCTTTAAAGAGCCTCTTTGCTTTTCATTTTGGAATCTTTCTTCCACTTCATCCTGCGGTTCTGGAACCAGATCTTGATCTGTCTCTCGTTGAGACACAAGTTGTTGGCGATCTCTATGCGCCTGCGGCGAGTGAGGTAGCGGTTAAAGTGGAATTCTTTCTCGAGTTCCAGAGTCTGGTAGCGCGTGTAACTGGTTCGGGACCGCTTGCCGTCGGTCTCTGGAACATAAGCCCCCCAAGCCAGGAAGGGGTGAATAGCGTGCAGCGTCCCAGCGCCCAAACCCCAGCTCCAGGTCCCCCACCCGCGGCCGGAGGGAGAAAAGGCGAGCCGGGCAAGCCTGGCCGGGCGGGCCGCAGGCGGGCCCGGCCGGGCCCAGCTCCGGGAGAGGCGCCTCCGCCCTGGCAGGAAACTTTCCGCCGCAGCCTGCACTCAGCAGCGGAGGGGCTGAGGGGGTGGAGGGAGAGGGAGACCCAGGCTCGGACCGAACAATGAGCACCCTCGAGATCCAAGCACCGGGGACCCCCCTCCCGCCCCTCCCGAATCGCTGGGATCCTCCGGAGCAGCGAGCGCTGGCAGAGCCGGCTCCGCAGGGGAGGGAGGGAGGGAGCCGCGGGGGGATCCCCGCTCTGGAGCCCCGCGTTCCTCACCCTTTCAGATCCCTCTATTTTTTTAACTCCCTCCCTCTCCCCCAAAAATTGAATATTGCCTTTTATACACGTTTTGTTCCTATGATCCAATTATGTCGTCGTAAATTTGGGCGCACACAGCCTCTAAGCCTTTTAGTGGACAGTTTTACGAGCCATTGATGCCTGGATCGTAAAATTTATGGCCGCAGGTTTTTTTTCTTTATTTGCCCCGCATGGCCTATAAAACCCAGGCGGACCCGAGCGCGCAAAATGAAGTCCTAAAGTTTACCGTGGCTCATGTGCAGTTTGGTCATCCACGGGTAAATCTGTGGCGGGGCCGGTGGCTGGCTCAGTCCGGCGGGCTGCCCTGTCTGCGCCTGCTCCTCTTTGATCTCCCCACTGCTCTTAGCTCGCTCCTCCAGCGCCGGGCGAGCCGCCTTCTGACTGTACATCCCGGGGTTCAGAGGAGCCGCTTCGTCTCTGCCCAGAGCGTGTCCCGGAGAGGCCGCGGCGCTGCAGGCGGGGCGGTCGGGGTGAGCCCGGGGGTTGGCAGCCATGTCTACCCCGTGGAGAGAGTTGGAAGGCGCAGGCGGTGGGAAAGTGATGCTTAAGTCCAATCCGCCGTAGCAGTACCTGGATGCCTGCACCTCTGAGGCCGATCCATAGTTCCCACAAGTTTGCATGTTATAGGCAGGGATATTGGGGCTCTGCTTATAGAATGAATTGGCTACGTAGGAGCTCATGGCGGGGAGGGCCCAAAAAAAATTTCTGCACCCTTTTTGATTAAGGGTGATTTGTGACTCTTTGAAGTTGAGGGGTTTTTTGTTCTCCAAAGTGCACAATTTATAGGTGGAGATATCTCTTTCTTTATCCTATGCGCTCTTCCCAAATAAGGGAGCCTTAAATAGAGTCACGTGACTCGAGCGGCCACTCATAAATTTGGCTTGATGACCTCCGGGAGGTTAGTGATGGAAGCCGGCGAAACGCATCTTGATATGTTGGCAAAGCCCTGCCAAGGGGGAGAGGGAGTGAGAGAAAGAGGGAAGGGGGAGGAAAAAAAAAATGGTTCTTGGAATTGGGGGGTAGCCGAGACAACGAGCCCACAGCGACACCTGGTGCCTATATGGAGGAATTGCAGCCTGGCGCGCCGGCATCTGAATTTCCTACCCTGTTGAGACGCTGGCTATTACTGCAACAAACCCCCCTGAGCTGGCCTTTTAGATTGTATTTAATTTAAAGGAATATGGGGCCTCATTTAAGATTCACAAAGGGGTTTTTTGTACTGGATAGTCCCGCCCTTCCCCCACCTACACTCTCAGGGCCTTCCAGTCTTCAAAAAACAGCTGAGGGAAGAGGACTTAGGCCAGGTTGGAGATCTGAGAGAGCTTATCTAAGATTCCCTAAATCAAGAGCCAAGGTCCCACACTGCCTTTGAGGCCCTCAGGTTTGGCTACAGCCAAACATTCAGCATGGGAATGTAAACCCAGCCTCTGGAGAGGTAAATGGATGCCCAGGGGGAAGGTCTTGGATGGGCAGGACTAGGTAGCAAGGTGTGTGTGTGTCATGAGGCTGAGAGTGCTGGGGACTCTCTGGGATGAGCCTAGAGGTGAGGCGAGGACCCAGGTGGAGTAGAGGTCACCACACCAGGAATCCCAGAGTGTCAACAGGGCGATTCTCTCTCTCTCTGGGTGTATAAAGAGCCAGACACAATGCGCTGGAGGATTGTGTATGACCCTCATGTGACACCTATACTAGACTTTTTTGATAGAAAACAGCTATATGAGGGCATGGAGAAGCAAGATTCAAGCAGGGCATAGAAAAAGACCTATTTTGTGCTCTTCGAGAAAAAGTCTCTGGACCAAGCTTTCCAGACATCTGGACTCAGAAGGTTCATAGAAGAGTATTTTCTCAGCTACTTGGAGGCCTGAAGAGGACTTGGCTGGGGGTGGGCAGGAAAGGCCCTGGGCATCCTTGTCAGTCAGTGGCCAGGGTCTCCAAGGCTATTCTGCCCCTTCCCTCTCTTCCCTAGCCCAAAGTCTCATTCTTTCCTGCCTGCCTCTCCCCAGGAAATCTCCGCCTCTGCCAGGAGAAGCCCCCCTCCCCCTTCCCACTCCTCTGGCAGAGGCGCTGGAGGGGGCGCTGGAGGGGATCTGGAGGGTCCAGAGAACTCTGGTGGATTTTTTCCCTCCTGGCGACCCTCATCACTACTTCTCTCCCTAAGTCCACTCAGGCTTCTCTGACTGGGTTTAGGGAGAGAAGGCCGAGCTGGGGAAGGGTGAGGGGCTGGCTGCTTTCATCTCCGGCCTGGTATGAGGAGAGAAGAAAGAGTGAGGACCCAGGCTGGGGCCGGGACACTAAGGAAAGAGGCATTTCCATCCCGGCCACGTCAGGAGTCCCAGATCAGGCGAGAGCTCAGTTGCCAGGTTTTCCTTCTCGGAAATGTCCTTGAATCGCTCATTCCCTGCCGAAGGGCTCCAATTGCATGGTCTTCTCTTTCTCCTCGGCTCTCCGCCTCTGCCACGTTTCGCAACAGCCCGCCTAGAGCGGGCCAGGGGCTGCTCAAAAGGGCCCCCCAATCTGGGGTGTGAGCAGGAGCAACCCTGGTGCCTGGATCATCTTCTTTTCTGGCCTTTTGGGACTCGGGGTTCAGAAGGCTAAGCTCCCAGGCTACCACAGTCAGGAAGAAAGGCCTGTGTGGGGTTGAAGCCCAACCAGACTAACCCGGGTTTTTTTTTTTTTTTTTGCTTCCCCCAACGAAATCCTGTACGACTTTTTTGCGGGGTGAGTGTGTTGCTCCACGTAGGGAGCCTAGGGAGGCCTCGCAGCCCCTCAAGGCCAACACAAGGAGACTAGGGAGGCCCCGAGCAGAGGCCCCGGAGCTCGGCGCCCAGCTCCCAGAGAAGGCGAGCACAGAGGGCTAGGAGCTTGCAGGCAGCGGGCAGACGCGGGAGAGCTCGGAGCCTGCTCCAACTTTAACCCTGAGGCCGGCGGGGGTGGGAATTAACAGAAATCGCGATATAAACTTTTAAAAATAATATCGGTTTTATTAAATATTCGAGAACGGATCCAGAGGTCGGATTTATACAGGAGGGTAACACGAGGATATATTTTTTTCTTCTTCTTCTTCTCCTACTGGCTAAACAAACGTCATTCACTTTTTTTCCCCTCTTTTTATAATTTTCCCTCTTTTTCTTTTTAAGATGGGATTGAAACACTGACGGTGCTAAACATAAATATAAATACAGAGACCACAAATACAGCTAAAAATATTCACACAGAAACGGTCACAGTTTGTAATATGCCATAATGACCCCCAGGATTCTTTAAATACAATTCGCCTGGGCTGGGCATTTGCTGGGGCAGAGGGGCAGAGGGGCCGGGTAGGGGCTGCAGGGAGGCCCTGGGGATGGCTGTGAGGCCCAGGCACGCCCTCCAAGGGCCTCCAGCCCTCCGGAGCTGCCAGGCCGCGCCCTGAGGCCACGGAGCAGAGGCCCCGGGTCCCGGAGCCGGCTCTCTGCGCGGGGGCGGGGGCTGGGGAGGCGCCGGGAGGGTGGGTGGGGGGCCAAGTCCTGGTTTGGAAGGAAGTGTGGAGAGTCTGAAGCGAAGTTCAGGAATCGAGCCCCCAAGGCCTGGGCGGGGGAAGGGGTCTGCAGATTAGCGAGAACGAGCGAGCGAAGGAGCAAGTAGGAGGTGTGGGGCGAAAGGGAGTTTGTGCGGTGAGGGAGGGGGTCCAGAGCTGACTTTCAGGTCCACATTTAACTCCCTATTTTTGTTTTACGGAGTCAAAACACATCAATTGTGCCAGTGATAAATACCGAGTGTGTGATAAGGAGGGAGTTGGGGGGAGCGAGGGAGGAGGACGGAGAGGGGTGGCAGGGACAGTTCTGGTCACTCTTTCTGCTTCTCCTCTTCTGTCTCTTCCCGCTTTTCCTCTTTTCCGCCCAGGCTGTCGGCCGCGGCCCCTCCGCCGCCCCCCGAGAGCGTGGACGTGAGATTAGATTCCTTTTTCCACTTCATCCGGCGGTTCTGGAACCAGATTTTGATCTGTCGCTCGGTCAGGCAGAGCGCATTAGCGATCTCGATGCGTCGGCGCCGCGTTAGGTAGCGGTTGAAGTGAAATTCCTTCTCCAGTTCCAGGGTCTGGTACCGCGAGTAGATCTGGCGGCCGCGCCTCCGGTCCGCCCCGTAGCCGACCCCTAGAGATCCAGGCACAAAACACACTAAAAACAATCAGCAAGGCCTCCTCTGGGGAGGATTTTGCTTAGCAAAACCCTGACCCTCCCAACTTGGCCAGCAGCTCACGGGCCCTAGCGCTGAAGCCTTCTTCCCTTTGCCTTGGCTGGGGGTACAGCCAGGACCCCACTTCATTCTCTTCCCCCATAGGTTGAAAGGCGTGTGTCCCAAAGAAAGGTGTGTCCGTGGGGGAGCAAGAACCAGGCAGAAAGCTGCAGTTCTAAAAGCTGGATTTTGAAAAATCCCCACTACTGGGGAGGAAGGCCCTATTTTTCAAGGACTGGGCTTCCCCACCTCCCCAAGCACCCTAGCTCCTTTGAAACTTCTCTCCACTTCTCTCCCTTCTCTGCCCCCCTGCCTTCAGCCTGACTCTACTTTGGGGGGCTCCTCCATTCCCTGCCCTCTCCACAGTCCCGTTCCTGCCCCTTCAGCTCGCCTTCAAGCCCTCCAATCTGTCAGGGGCCGAGGGGGCCAGGCCCCTGCGAGCTAGCAGGGAGGCGAGTTGAGGGGGCTGAAGAGGGGGCCCTGTCTCGGCGTCAGCGAGGAGACGAGCGTGATTGTTTTTATGGGGCCATAAAAAACTCTCTCCGCCCGTTCTTCTAGGGAAGCCGGTCATAAAGTCAGTTCAGTTTATTTAATTTATATCTCGGAGCTGTAAAACTCACCACTGTGCGAATTCATTCGCTGCATCCAGGGGTAAATCTGGATACTGGCTTTCTGGTCCTGGGGCGCAGTCCTGCCCTGCTCAGAACTAAAATCCTGAGCGATTGAGGTCTGTGTGTTATGTCCTAAGTTGTTTTGTCTGCAGTTTGAGAGCATGTCTTTCTCCTGGTAAAAGGAATTAGATCCATAGTCATACGGCCCCCGGCTGGAACTGAACACGACATTCTCCTGTGGCGAATAAAAGGGAGTCGAGTAGATCCGGTTCTGGGCAACGGCTGCTCCATAGGTCGAGAAATGCCTCACTGGATCATAGGCGGTGGAATTGAGGGCGACGTTGGGGAGGACGTCCTGGCCCCCGGCGAGGTGGCAGGATAAGGAAGGGTTAGTGAAGTAGGAATTCATCCCTTTGCCTTTACCTGGTCGGGCTATGATTTCTTTAATATTTATTTCTGTCTCCAGTTTGTACTCGGAACTAGATGGTTATAGGGACGGCTCCAATCCAGGACAGACAAAATGACAAAGTCAGCTGACCCCCTTCCAGCCAATCGCGAGCCAGATGTCAAGAAGGGGGAAAAAAATCGCTTCTGCTTCTGTTGATTCCCTAGTTGAGACTCAGTGTGTGCTTTGAAAGTAATACTTGGATTTCTTTAAAATATGTATATGTAAAGGAACTTATTTTGGGGGTGAAGGAGGGGTGAATGTCCGAGCGCAGGGCCTTAGGCCCCGGGAAGGAGAGCTGCACTCCCAGGAAATCGCTCAGCCACAGCTAACTTTGCTGTGCTGTGGACAGGGCCAGAGAAATCTCTGTATTTTCAGTCTGGTTTTATCCTTTAGATCCAACCCATTCTAAAATTACATCCTGATTTCTCCATGGGAGGAGCTCCTGCCCAGCTTATGGGGTCCCCAGAAATTCTACAGGAAATCCTGGTTTGACACTCACAGACTGAGACCCCATCACGAAATCAGTCCCCCCAATAATAATTTTAAAAATCCAAAGTAGAAAGAAATCTAATAAAACATGGTGTCCAGAGGTAAGAGAGTGTAGCTGAGAGCCTTGGGCGTACAGGGGGATGTGAGGCGCAGCTAGGTCTAAGGAGATGAAGGTGAGACTTCAGAGGTACAGTGGCAGAGCTGTGGGCACAGGGGCCAGGCATCTGCTTGCCTCTGCCTCCTAGCCCCCTTCTGCCTCCTCCTCCAGACCCCTTTTTGGAGAAACTCTTGCTGCCATTTTGCACAGAAGGTAAAATGTACAAAATACAATAGAAAAGGGAGAGAAAGAAGTAAAAGGTGGGAGAGAGAGAAAGAAAGGAAGGAAGGAAGAATGAAAACTCTGAGAGGCTTTCTAGAGACATCAACTCCTGTTTATGTTGGTGAGAATTTATGATTTGGGCCAGGAAGGCTGGTGGGGTAATTCACATAGGATCCAGCCAGGCCAGAAAGAGAAGGCTGCCCGGGTTCTGATGGACAGTTAGGGTCTTGCAGGCTCAAGCCCCTGCTCACATGGGAAAACCCCTGGGCCCTCAGACTCACTGCCCAGCCAGGGGAGGCCCCCTGGACTTGAGCTCTGGGGCTTGGAAACACAGCAAAGGGGTCCTGGGCACCACTCACCCAAGTGTCACCCACCCTCGGTGGGACCGGGCCTCTTAGTAGCCCCTACCCCCATTTTCTTTCCACCTGAAGAAAAGGAAGGCCAGGTTAGCAAAAGGCAGCTGAGTCAAAGGCTTCAGAGGGAGCGGCAGTGGCAGTGGGAGAACTGAAACCGCCGAAGGTGTGCAGATGGGGTTTTTCTCCTGATTAATCCAAACTTAATTTGCTATCGGGACATAAGCTGGAGATGTTTTGAGTTGACAAAGAAGGGGTGATGGGGAGTGCGCAGGGAGCAGTCAAAGATCATATTTTCTCCTCACCATTTTTTTTTGGGGGGGACTGGCTATAACAAGAACCCGGATGTCGTCGCCGGATTTTATGATCTTTTCCTTCTGTGTAACAAAGCGGAGTAATCAATGGGTAGCAATAAAGCCATAAACGGGATTACGCTGGGAAAAAACTCGTTTATTCATCTTCTGTAACGTTAAGGTTTCCCTAGAGTGTCGCTAGGGGGGAAAAATAAAGTTCCGAACCCCAAAGCAGACAGTGTGTAGGAGCTGAAGGAGACAGCATGTTAGTTAATACATGAACCTCCTTACGAGGTTGAAGAGTCTTTCTGCCAGACAATTTGTGTTGGCTTTTTAAAATACAGCCTCAGTCCTTCAGGAAAGAGGGAAATTTATTATTATTTAGAAGGATAAGGGAAAGACCCTGGAATGATAAAGGTACCTCTTGAGCCACACTTTCTTCTCCCTAAGGAGATGAAGGTGAAAGGGTGGAAGAGAGTTCTTAAACTGAGAAAGAAATTTTGAGATGAGTTATCTCATTTTAGGGTGACATGGCAGGTACACACACACAGAGAGACAACAGCGTGAATTACTTTTCATTCTAGAATCCAGCTGTCCTCGAATTCATGACATGCCTGGGCAGAGGTTTCCAACAGCTGGGTGGGGCTCCAGGCCCCCTGGAGGGCAAGAGGTAGGAGGAGAGATAACAAGGAAGGGAGGACACCCAGGACAAGGCAGTGCACCCCTGGACACAAGTAGCCGCTCTGAGTTCCTAGCCTTTCTGCTGGAGGGTAGCAGTGTAACAAGTAGAAGTGACTGGAAGAGAGAGTAAATCTCCCCCCACCCCATTTCAGAGAGAGATTGCTAGAGGGATAAATCATGTCAGTGATATTTCCTTCAAGATATTAAATTGTTTCAATGTACAACAAATTGAATGATGGAAGATAGGATGTCTTAATGAGGTTTCACTTTCAATGAGTGTTGATTTTCTATGTATTTGAAAATCTCTTGTATGGGTGAGCAGAGGAGGGAGGAAATTCTCAGACCTTGGAAGAAAGGTCCCTTTCTGGGGAGATGTGTGCTTCAGGCCCCATCAAGGAAGCCTGGGTTTCCCTGAGTCCCTCCTCATCCAAGCTTGAAGGGGGCAGGGGGCCCAAAGTTGGGGAAGTTGGAGAGGATCTCTTTTGGGGCCTAAAGGCTATGGGCGCGAGGGTGGGCGACCTGAGAAGCAGAATGTAAGTCTCAGCCCGGAAAGTTAAGTGTTTTATTACATCCCTAAACAGAGGGCAGTAACTGAAAGGTCTCACCGATTTATAATGAACAGAAACCAGCAGCTGAGGGAAAAAAAGGCAGAAATGCTGAAAGGAGGGAGAAGGAGAAAGAGAAATACAAACAAATTCCCCCATTGCTTAAAGGCGTTCAGCAAAATTAATTTCCAGCCCACTCTTCCCATCACCTTGTATTCCTAGGGAAAGAAGCTGCCCCCTTTCAGTTAGATCTGTAATTATGCAGCAGAAATTTGCTGGAAGGATTCGCTCCAAGGGGGTAGAACTGGTCCGATGAGCTGAGCTTCCCTCCCTTGCATTATATTTTCCTTTCCCCATTTCATGTTCATTTTATTTACTTATTTATGTTGGTGAAAGAATGCCTGTCTATAGGGGAAAAGCTGGGACTTGTATTTTTCTAAACATATTTATATTTTCCTGTTAAATTTGTCTGAAAACAATTATGGAAACTCATCAGCAGAAGCAAGAACAGATGTTTATTAAAACTGCAGTTGAGCTCGGTAAATATGCACAAGTCCTGGAAAGGAGGTGGGGGGGGGAACTTGTTCTTTGTTTCTATAAAACAACCCTAGAGAAATCAGGGAACACCTCCCAATCAGGTTGGAAGGTCTGTGCCCACCCCTCAGAAATCAGGCTTTCAAGGGGGGTTTGGAGGCAAGAGTGGCTTTTCACTTTGAAAAAATAGCTGCAATTAGTGGATTAAAAAACAGAGTTGAGAAAACCCCCCAAAAAAGGGAATAAAAGGAGAAAGTTGCCGCTTGCTGCTTCCGCCCCTGCCCCCCCCAATCCAAAACACATGCTTTCCAGGAGCGCTAATTATAGGAATAGAACTTACTACAGGCACCTTGGCGGGAGCAGGGGGCAGTCACTGGCTTGGAGTCCCAAAGACCAAGGGTTGCATTGGAGGCTGGGCACTTGGCGGTTTCCCCAAGCCAGTCAAGCACCCCTATTCCAGCTTTGCTTTGCACTAGGTCAGGGAAAGGCTGGGGACCTGTGTGGCACTGAACTGGGAGAGGGTGGGTGAGACTGCACTCGTTTGAGCCCTGAAGAGGTTCGTGTGCAGGCCTCACCTTGCCTCCCTTTGCTATCCACCTCGTTCTGAGAAATGTGTTCATTTCTTAGAGAGAAGCATCTGAAATGAGGGGGATGAGATCTGCTATTTTTATCTGGAAGTCTTTTCCAGAAGTCCTCCCCAGTTTGTGTTCTGGTGGTCTCCTCTGTCTCCCCAGGTCCCCCAACTCTGCGTAAATGTTTGCAACTCACCCACCTTTGCACACAAATGCACACACAGCCCATTCCTGGCTGCAGGCGGGCGGGCACCACTGACTACTGTTCATACCTCCCAAAGCTGCCCAGGGACCTGGACACTGGAGCTACAGGAGCCAGTACTCGGCCTGGGCCCTTAGCCGCCTGCAAACACGGTGCAGCTGCCTTCCGGGTCCCCCCCTCCAATTCTCGGAGGAGAACGGAGAGGAGCGGTTGCCACGCCAGCCCCTTTTGTGCCACTGGGCGAGGGCTGTAATCCCTCTTGCGGAGAAAGCCGAGTTTCAATAATTGCTCAGCTCACCTCACAATCGCACTATTTGATTAAGGCTTTGTGATTCTAGAGTGACTGCCTACTTGGTCCCACTGGATTATGATTAGATTTTATTATTATTTTTATTTTAAAATAAGGAAAAAAAATATCCAACTCCAAGTGCCTGGGCTTTGTATACAAGCTCCTTTGATCTCTGTGGAACTTGGAGTAAAAAAATTGCAGAGTCTCACAGTCCACCAGAGAATCTGAACGCAGGGAACTGGGTCTGCTTGGGGAGCATGGCTCATCCAAGAGGACCCTCACTTTCTCATAAATATGGTGGGGGGGTTGTCTGAGCACAACCCCCTCCCCCATATATGCACTGCATTCCAAAGAGACTGCTCTCAAAGTTCAGGATTGGAGACACTTGGAGGAAAGTGAAATTTGACACACCCAACCCGGAAATGGATCCCACTTGTGGGTGCTGATATTCTGGGGACTGGGCCTAGGCTAGTCAGCTGAATGGAGTTGGGGGTCAACAGGGCGAGGGAAGGAGGAGAGGCCGGATGGGGCCTGTCCAGCTGCTGAGAACTCCCTGGGACACCTTGGGAGGCCCGGACTGGTGAGTCCTTTTCTGAACTAAGAGATGTCCAGAGACTGTTAGCTTCGGAG